CACCCCACACCCCTGCAGCATTTCGGATGCATCCAGCACAATGCATGGCTGCAATCTGTGTCCCCTTCCAAGCAGCCGAATCCCCGCTTCTCCCGCTGCTTTCTCCTTGCTGCTCATTTCTTCCCTGCCCCCCAGCCCACCCAACCCCACAGCTCCTGCTCACACCCCAGTCCTGTCACTGGGATGTGGGTACCTGCCATGGGGCTGTCCCTTGTGGCCTCCCCTCCCAACTGCAGGGTTTGCTGGGGCTGTCGGGGTGCCCGTGTCCCCATCTCCGCTCCAGCTGTTGCCTGCAGCTGGGCTCAGCAGTCCCTGGCCGAGGGCAGGAGGAGGCGCAGGCTGTGCCTGCTGAGCCAGCATTTTTCCCTGCTGCACCAGCAGAGCTGAGCTGACCCTCAGGACTGCCCAAGCGGAGCCATCGATATGCAGATGAGCTGGGAAAATCAATGCTAATGAGCAGCATCAGCACTTCCAGTCCCTGCGGTCCAGCTCCCCTGGCTCTCACACACCTCCGACCCCTGCCTGCTGCTGGCATCGGCCGCGCGTCCCTGTGCGCTGCGGTGTGACCCTGCCCCATGCTGCAGTCCCGTGCCGCAGCCCTGGAGGAAGGTTCTCACACAGGGGCAGCACCTGCAGTAGTCCCTGGTCTCCCCAGGGTCCCCAGAGCTGGGGTGTGTGGCCACCCCACCAAGCCCTACACCACATCAGACCTGCTCCGTCCCAGGGCAGTGTGCCCCCCTCAGGTGTGCTGCCTGCCCTGTGGGTGCCCTGTGGTGCCATCGGTCTTCACCAGCCCTGGCATTGTCCCCATCCCTCAGGCTTGGGGCTCCCTGGGGTGCACAGAAACCCCAGGCTCCCTGGGGCAGTGGGGACATGTGCCTGCCAGCCGAGCCCTTCTGTGGGATACAGCTGCAGGGGGAGTCCCCGTCCCCTGAAGGCAGAACCAGGGTGCCAGGCACAGGGACCAGTGGTGGCTCTGCACCCACTGGTTCATCCTCCAGCGTAGCCCTGGGTACCCTATGGTATCCCGGCACTGGCAGAGGCACATCCCAGCATGGTGCTGCTGGTGCCCGGCTCATGCAGCCCCTGTCCTCCCCCACCAGGACCTGGGCAGCAAAGACCTGAAGCGGGAGAAGCTTTTCCTGGTGTGCCAGATCATCCGGGTGGGACGCATGGACCTCCGGGAGACCTACAGCCGTAAGCTCAGCACGGGCCTCCGTCGGCCCTTCGGCATCTCAGGTGAGAGCAAAGGTCTGCCGTGGTTGCTGGGAGGAAACCCCCCAGCACTGCCCACGCCAGCACTCCCCAGCACCCACCTCTCAGGCCCCAGGCTCCATGGGGCTCACTGGCCATGGGGTGCAGTGGTTCGGAGCAGCAACACCCCAGGGCTGCTCTTGCCTCCAGTCAGGCATCCTCCATCCCCATGCATGGCCCTCAAATCCTCACTTGCCTCTGCACAGCCATGTTCACCCCATCCCCCTGAGCTCACTGCCCTGTCTCCCCCTCCCCAGCCTGACCCACAGCCCCCCCATGGTGGTGCAGGGTCTTCCCCACGCATGCCTGATGCTGGGGTGTGGGGAGGGATCTGGCACAGCCGCTCTAGCAGCCAGGAATATCTCCAGAGGTCCCTTCCAACCCTAACGATTCTGTGATTCTGTGATTCATGTCGTCCCCCGCGCGCTGGCCCTGCCCTGCCAGGGCTGCGGCTGCCTGGCCCGTGGGGATGCAATGCACCCACCCCAGTAGAGGAGAGGGACTGGCGTGGCCCAGGCGTCCCTCCTTGCTGTGTGGTGCAGGGGACCCCCCAGCCTGGCACTGCCGGAGGTGCCCCTGGGAGTAGCCCTGGACCCCTCCGCGGCGCCTGTCCCCACCGGAGCAGGGAGCTCCCCTGCCTCCGCCTCAGCCCGTGGTCCTGCGCTGGGTGTTGATCCTCATTGGATGGGCTCGCTCGGAAATTATTGATTCTGCTTGACTAATTAGTGTGTGCTAGGACCTCAGCCATAGAGAAATTACCAGGTGATTTATGAACATATCGGCATCTAATTGCGCTCCGAGCTGATAGTGTCCCCAGGGAGGGGCCAGATGGATTGTTCTGGTGCCCACTCTGCGGTACCCTGTCTGTCCTGCACCAAACCCTGTGTCCGTGGGCAATGGAGAGGTTCTGGATGTGTCTTATTTTGGCCAAAATCTGCCCTGGAGCTCTGAGGTCACCTGTGGTGACCATCTGGTTGGTGGCTCACCATCTCTGTGCACTGTTCCCCAGAGGGGTGCCACTGGAGGGGACACTGGGCATGTGCTGTGAGCCCTGAGCAGTCAGCTCTGCCCCAGGGCAGCTGGAGAAGCGCAGGGCAAGGAGGGGAGAGCCCAAGAAACGGGTGGCCTTTGGGCTGTGCCCCAGCACAGGACCCTTCCCTGCGCTGGGGGCTGATGCCTGTGCTGCTTCAGACTCCCCCCGGGACCACATCCCATTGGTGAGCTGTGCCGGGCTGCCAGGTCCCACCCTGTGTTGGCAGCATGTCCATCCGCTGTGGAGGGTCAGTGCTGGTGGCATAGGCCAAGTGGAGGCTGCAGGACAGGACAAAATAGTCCTGGGTGCTGGTCCCGGGATGATTTGGCACAGAGAGCCCTGGCGCTGGGGCTGCTGGCACCCGTGGACACACTCTGTGCTGCTGCAGTGATGGACATCACGGATATCACCAAGGGGAAGTGTGAGAGCGACGAGGACAAGCAGCACTTCATCCCTGTGCACCTGTGAGTCCTGTGGGGACGGGCAGTGGGCAGGGGGGCAGCGGGGCAGCGCTCTGTGGGTCTGGAGACACCGGGACAGCGGCTGCAAGGGGGCAAGAGGTGCCAGGATCAAAGAGAAAAGATTTCTCCATTAAATGTGGCTTTGCAAAGGGAACATGTATCCTTGGGCATGATGTCACCAGGTCCAGGACCTCAGTGAGGTTAGAAAAGGGATATTTCTTTGGGCAGACATATACTCAGAGGTATTGAAGCCCCCACTGGAGCTCTGCCTCCCGGCAGACATGTGCTCAGGATCCCAGGTCTGCTGTGGATGCTGTCCTGCACCTCCTTCCCAGTGGGCCGGAGGCCGCCAGGTTGGGGAGCCACAGCGGGATCCAGGCTGCTGCTCCGTTTGCTGGTGGTCAGTGTCTGGCCAAGGGGAGCAGCCCTGTGGGTTTCCTTATGTGTGTCCAGCTCTGAACTCCTCCGAATGGCCCCGCTCTGATGTTTGCAGGGCGGCTGCAGACAATGATTTTCTTCACAACATGATCAGGAAAGCGGTGGAGGGGAAGGACATCAACCACAAGGGACAAGGTAAAGCCCCCACCTGTCCCTTGCCCCGTGTGCCTACTCTGCACCTTGATATGCGTTGGGGGACGGGGTGAGACCCCCTCCTGAGCCCATCCTTGTGTCCCTCTGCGGCTGCTGCTTCTGCTCAGGGACCTGGGCAGCTGCCGGCCCCTGCACTGGGGTAGTCCCCTTGTGCTGCTCCTCGCAGGGTCTGTGGGCTTGCTCCGGTCCCTGGCCAGCCCTGGGCCCCCTCCCGCTGCCTCCCCCAGGCTCTTGCATGCTGTCACCCACTGAAAAACCGTGGCAGCCACAGGGGTGTGAGTTTGATCCTGGGTGAGGCCGGGGCTTGGTGTGTGAATGGTCCCAGCGATCAGAATCGGAGCTGTATGGGGTTGCTGGAAGCAACCACCCATCCAAACGCATCCAGGGGCTGAGCCCAGGAAGGGGCAGACGCTTCTGCAGGAGGTGTGCGTGGCTGCCACCCTTGCCTGGCACGGCACGGCTTGGGCTGAGCTGGTGCGGGCCATGGGGCGATGTCCTGCTCTTTGTCCTGGCAGGGTTCTGGGTGTCCCTGAAGATGCTCTGGGGAGACCTGAGCCAAGTGCGGAAGGACCATCCCCACCTCGTGGACCGCAGCACAGTGGTGGCACGCAAGCTGGGCTACCCGGAGGTCATCATGCCAGGCAAGCAGGGCGGCGGGTTGGACCATCCCTGGATGGTGTCTGGGGGTCCCAGTGGAGGGTTACGGGGCTCACTGACAGGGCTGTCCCCCCAGGAGATGTCAGGAACGACATCTACCTGACGCTGGTGCAGGGCGAGTTTGACAAGGGGAACAAGAAGACGCAGAAGAACGTGGAGGTGACGGTGTGCGTCTGCGATGAGTCAGGCAGCGTTGTGCAGGTATGGCAGGCACTGCATCAGCCCTGGGGCAAGGAAGGGACTGTCCCCTGAATAACCCCATCTCGGGCAGAGGCAGCAGCTCCACAGCCTGCCAGTGCTGGTGTTTGTGCCGGAACGAATGAGTTGGAGTAGCCTCTTTGGCTACTGGAGCCCCTGAATAGAATAAATAGAATAAAAGCCCCCTTTAGAATAAATATTTGGAAAAGGGGTGGGAAGGGATAGAGAGAAAATTGTCCTCCCCTGGGGACAGCCAGAACCCCTGGCCATCCCTGCAGGCCCCCAGGCACAGGGTATCCCAGCCCTCGGAGAGGCAGGACGGGGAAGGAGTTGGAGCACGGGGGGGTTGTCAGGAGGGTGGGAGGAGGCTCAGACCCAGTTCCCCCATGCCAGGACTGGCTGTTGCCTTGACTCTCTCCAGGGTTTTTGCCTTCATTTCAAAGGCAATTCTCCCCTAAAAGCTGTGAATTGCTGAGGGTCCTGCTGGGGTGGTCCAGGGACGCAGTCCCCACCTCCCTCTCTGTCGCTGATAATGCCTTTCGCACTGGGCAATGGAAGCCAAGTCATGACTGTGCCCTGGGGGGTCACGTGTCCCTTGCTGGCTCCTTTCAGAGGCTGCACCAGCCCTGGCGGAGGTGAAGGGGACGGAGAAACCTTTTGCTGCCCTCTGAGCCTGGCTGGGAAGGCACTGTCAGAAAGGTGTCCCCGTGCCAGCTGAGTTGTTGTAAAAGGGTGCCTGTGCTGGGGGGCTCGGGTGGGGGCTGCCATGGCGTGGGCAGAGGAGAGCAGCTCAAGGGGGCTGCCCTGGGTTAGCAGGGGATGGAAAATTCTTTGGCCCTTCAGGTTTATTTGATCCGTAACAAGTAATATCAGGAGCTGACCACCAAGCATCTTTTCCGCTGCTGCTCTTCCTGCAGAATGTGATTTACCACGGCGCGGGGGACAAGCCGGCGAGCGAGTACCGCTCTGTGGTCTACTACCAGCAGCGGCACCAGCGGTGGATGGAGACGGTGAAGGTCGGTGCATCGGGGTGCAGGGACTGAGGTGTGGGACTGGGGCTGCGACCCTCAGAGGCTGTGTCCCTCGCTCCTCCCGCACAGCAGGACTGAACTGCCGCAGGGGGACACGCCACCAGGGCTGGCTTTTCAGGGGGAAAAGTCCCCGGCTCCCCAGCACGGGAAGGACAGGAGATGCTGCTGTTGTCATGGCTCAACCCCTGGATGGAGACCCAGGGTGACCTGCAGCAGGGAGGTGATGTCTGCCACCCCTGCCGAGGAGCAGTGCTGGGGCAGGGGCTTTGGGTGTGCTGCATGGCCAGCAGTGCTCCAGCATCGCTCCTGTCTCTCCCCACGGGCTCATGGGTGTATGTCGCCAGCCCTGCACACACACCTGTGTCTCTAACTCAGCCTCATTAATTAAAAGGAAAGCATGTGGGTTTGGATTTAAGCAGCTGACAGTTCAGCACAGCCTTTGCCCAAACACAGAGGGGTCTTGGCCAGCGAGGTCACTCAGCCCATGCCTTCCTGTCCTCATGTGGGCACACATTCTTTCTCTCAGATTGCTGTTCCCATTGAAGATGTCCACAAGACCCACCTGAGATTCACCTTCCGGCATCGCTCCTCCAGCGACTGTAAGTAACTCCTTTCTTCATGTCTTCTTCCACTAACATTCACAGCAAGAGCTGCGATGGAGGTGCGCTGTCTGCAGCTCAGGAGCTGCAGGAGCTGCAGTGCCCTGTAAGCAGTCCTCGTCTCACACCGTGCGGGGATACATCAGGGATGCTGGATTCACATGGGGGCGGGAAGGAAGCCGTCACCCCTGTTCTGCTCTGACGCTGCTGCCTGTGGTGGGCAGCAGATCTCTGGGAAACTGCTGCCTCTTGCATGGACCTCCTCCTCGGGCGCCTGTGCTGGGCTTTCTGGAGCACCCGCTCTGCGTCCAGTGATGTTTGGCTGCAGCAAAGCTGTGGGCTGTGGTGTGTGGCCAGGAAGATGGGCTGCTCCCGGAGCAGCGGTGCTGCTGTTGGTGCCTTCACAGAGCTGAAAACCGCATGTGACGGGACGTGGTGGGGCGCGTCCTGCGACTGCGGGGACCTTCCCCGGGGCCACTGTGGAGATCTGCAGTCTGATCCCGCACGAGCTAAACCCCGCCTGCCCCAAACCCATCTCATTCTCACAGAGACAGCTCTCCGATGGCCCCCTGCCTGGGCAGCACGTGCTGGCAGCCTGGTGGCTCTTCTGGCTGCCCATGGGCTCATCGCTGCTGTCTCTACCCCTGCGAGGCTCCCCCCCCAGCCGATTCTCCTGAGTGCCCCGCGGGGGTCTCGCTGTGCGTGGGCACAGCCGGCGGGCTCCGGGGAAAGAAATGCGATTTCCCCAGCAGCCCCCCTCCCCGACCCCCCCCGGCTGCTGGGAGGGCAGGAGCCCCCGGCTGAGCTGCCCTTTCCCTGCTCGCACGGTACGTCCTCAGGCTCCTCCTCAGCCGGCTTCACCTCGCCCCGTGTTTGTCTCTCCCAGCCAAAGACAAAAGCGAGCGGATTTTCTCCATGGCCTTCGTGAAGCTGATGCGACCGGATGGCACCACGCTGCGTGACGGGGAGCACGACCTGGTTCTGTACAAGGTACAAGGGTGCAGGCAGAGCCCCCCACCTTGAAGCGGAGAGGCTGCAGGATGGCAGCTCTCCCGGCAGCTGCCTGTGTGGGCCTGGGGTCCCAGTCACTGCTGGAGCTGCTGCACTGGTGGCACATACCCAAACTCCCTCGGAGGGTTTCCAGTCCCTCCTCCCTGCCCGTCCTTTCTGTCCTTGATGGTGGGGGCTACCGCTACGGCTCCCTGCACACAGTGTCTCTAATCTCCATGACGTTCATTTGCAAACGACAAGTTTTGTTTAGAAAAAGGTAACTTAAATCTATTTGACTTGGGAGGGAAAATCCCCATGAAGATATTTACAGTACTTTACCTGATTTCACCAGCGTTTCTCCGCCTGAAACTGCTTGGTTTTTCTTTTGAGAGAGCAGAGAGAGCGTGTGAGGAGGGAAAATTCACTATTCATTTGGAAAAAAAAATGCAGTCAGCTCTGACACTGGATTGTGAAAGACCCCATGAACATGCTGCCTCGCTTTGTCTTGGTGTCACCCTCTCCCGAGCTGGGGCTGGCCGCAGTGAGGGGACTGGGAGGGTGCGGGCTGGTCCCTGCTGCAAGGGCGAGCTCAGGGCTTTTCCTCTGTGTGTCCGCACTGCTTTATCGTTCCTCATCAGCAGTGGTGACCTTCCCACCTTGGCTGCTCTGGTATTTAACTGCAATTTTCTTTAATTTCCCTGCTGTTCTTGGTGATGTGACCACAGTTACTTGAGGTAGACCCATCTCCCTTCCCAGGTCCTGCATCTTTCTGGGACAAGCAGGTCTGTCTCCCACCTGCTGTGGCAGCTGTGCAGCTGGCCTCAGCTAATGCTTCCCATGAGCTTGATGGAGGAGTTCCTCCTCTTCATCGATGCATTTCCTTTCCTTTTAGGGAAGCCCTCTTAGCACCCTGATGCTGCTTCTGCAGCTATGTAATGTCCCGGCTGCAGACAGGCTGCTGCCAGCACCCACTGTGCTCAATGTCATCCCATGTGAGAGGACAGCGCTGTGGATCTGATGCTGTGTCACCCCGCAGCGGTCCTGCCCCACGCTCACACAGCTGCCCCATGGGGGCTGAGCCACTTGCATGCCCTTGCAGATCTCTGCCATCCATCTGTCTGTCCACACCAGGGCTGCCCTGTCCACCTCCTGCCCCAAGGGAGGACCAGCAATCCCAGAGCTGCCATTGCTCGGGCGCGCTTCTGCTGATGGGACGGGCTCATCCCCACCCTCCCGGCTGGTCTGTCCCAGTGTTGCCATTACTGTTCCTCATCTATCGCTCTTGTGATGCCTGACCTCCCTCGCCACAGGGACCCTGCGTGCCCTGCCCAGCCTGGGGACAGGAACAGACCCACGCTTTTCTTCCCCAGCAGATCCTATGCGTTTGAAATTGTTATCGTGTCCCTCCTCCTTGTTCTTTTTGGGTAAAGGACCCAAATTATTTAAATGCTGCTGTGGCCTGCAGAGCTGCAGAGAGGATCCCTGGCTCTCCAGGGGACTGTACCCTGCGCTGCCTGAGCCATGGCAGGAACACCGAGTGCCTTCGGGACTTGTCGGTGCCGGCTGGGGCAGCGAGATCAAAACCTGTGCACCTCCCTCCTGGATGTATTTTCTCCTTAAAGGGCTGTTGCTGCCCTCACTGAACCTTCACATTCACCAGCATCCTCCACCCCTGAGCAAGTGAGAGCTGGCGTGCTCTACTTCATCTTCCCTGTGGCTGACTCCTGCTCTTCCCGGCAAACACCGGGGCTTGATTCTGGGAGTCAGCAGCTATTTCATCTTTTTATCTTTGTTTGCCAGAGGAATGTGAATGATATGCTTTTAGCTCCTCAGACCTCTTGATCTCACGCTGGTCGAGAAATGTCTGAAATTAAGCCGGTTTACCCTATGAGGGTTTAGCTGCCCTCGGAAGAAGTGTGGTGCCTCCTGTGAGTCAGCTGGCCGCTGTGGGTACGCTCGAAAGAGGAAACCCAACAGTAAACAATTTTGCTACCTTTGTCTGACCTTCAGTGGAAATAAGTTTATCATGCAAGGTTGCAGGCAGGGGAAGATAAACACCCAGTTGCCAAGCCGCAAGTGAGCCCGGGTCAGCTCGGGGCAGCACGGCTGTGGTCTGTAAGTAGGGGACACAAAGAAATAGGCTCTTTTGCCACTGTGAGGAGGGATCCCGGTGTTCCCACGCAGGCAGGAAAAGTCCCGTCGGGCTGGTGACGGTGATGCTGGTCAGTGTCCTGCTGCGGGTCTGTACCCACAGCAGTGCTCAGGTGCATGTTTTATTCCCGGCGTCCTGCTGCCCCAGGTTCCTCTGTGTCACTGGCCTCCCCCCCTGCTTTTCCACCCGCCAGTTCTTATGTCCTCTCTGAGTGGCACCGGCTGGGATGCGGTGTCTCTCCCAGTCGGTTGTCCCGGCTGAGCGTGGCACCTGGCAGAGCCCCGCAGGGAGCAGCTTTGTTGGATGCTCTGTTGAAATTAATGTCAGGCGAGCCAGCTGCAATGCCTGCGCCGGGCTCTGCACCACAGGCAGTGATTCCCCTGGGCCGGCTTGCGCATACCCGCGATTTCACCTTTTTAAAAAGCCATAACCATGGCATTAGGTGGGAGCCACCGTGACCTGTTCATGGCTCTGCTAACCTCCTCGCCCTGCCCCATTCTGCACAGCAAAGTCCCCCACGCAGGGGACTTGACGTGAGGTCAAAACCGAGCCCACGGGCCAGCCCTGTCCCATGGGGCTCCCGTGGGGCTGCGCTGCCCTGTGTGAGCCATTGCTCTGCCTTGCAGGGTGACAGCAGGAAGCTGGAGGATGCCACTGCGTACCTGACCCTGCCCTCCACGAGGCACCTGTCGGAGCCGAAGCTTCTCTCCGGCTCTTCCTTCCGCGTGAGCGGAGGTGCGTCGGGCTTAACCGTGTCGGCCCGGGACAGCTTCCAAATCTCCACGCTTGTCTGCTCCACAAAGCTGACCCAGAACGGTGAGTCCTGGCTCTCCGCAGGGGGCGGTGGCAGACCTGTGCGCCCACCCCACTACTGTGTTTCTACCTACCGGACCACAGTCCTCCTGGTGGCTGGCTGTCCGGTTGTCAGTATGTGCCAGCCACGGCGGGACACGGTGCTGGTGCTGCTGTGCCGGCACCAGCCCCCTCCAACGCAGTGCAGCTGGACTGGGGCTCGCTCCCATCACATGCGGCACTGGGGTGGCATGCCGAAAATGCAGGGAGAATGGGAACGGTGAGTGCTGAATCAGCGTTTTGACATGGTTGGGACTGCCAGGGCTAATGGCTGTAATGGCTGTTCCTGGTGAAGCAGCATGGTCCTGGGATCTTTGGGTGGCTGCTGTCCCCCAGAGAGGAGTGACACTGAGCAGGAACGCCTGCGGCTGGGATGGTGCTGCCCTATGGCAATCCAGGTTCTGCCCCAGCGCGGCTGTATGGCTGGGATGGGATGTGGTTTGCTGCAGGCTCTGTTTGCGTATCGCTGGGTCGATGGCTCTGGGCTGTAACTCAGAGTGTTTCTCTTTTTTTTTTTTTCCCTTTTTATTTTTTTTATTATTAAGATCGTCTTTTGGCTTATCTGTCTCCTGAGCCCTCCTGAGTTAGCGGCAGATTAATTTTCCAAGGTGGGAGGGAAATAAGAACAAACAATAACAGGCTGGAAGTGTTGCCAGGCATTCTCCCACCTTGGGGGCATGGAGCCGTGGGTAGTTAGCAGTTTCTTGGCTGGTGGTACCCTTGCAGATGGTAATTAATCTGCTCTCGCCCTCGGGGGACTGAGCCGCTGCCTTCGATCTGGGAGCAGGAGTGAGCTGCTCAGGCGTCGCTGTTGAGGGCTCCGTGACCTTCCTTGGACCTTTTGAAATCAGGGTGGGAATTGGGACTCCTTGTTTTTAAAACTTGTCCTCAGTTAGCGAGCGTGGGCTTCCAGCCCCGGGGTGCTGTGCCGCAGTTCATTGCAGGGCAGCCAAGAGCGTACGTGCCACCTCAGCACAGACGCATCAGCATTTGCAGGTGGGATTTTGCCGTGTATGCCACGTTTCGGGAGGTGGCAGAACAAAGAGGTGTCGGCAATCTTGAGCGAGTGCTGGTGGTTGTCAAACTGCCACATGTGCCCCTCTGAAGTGAGCGGGGGGCTGGCAGCCAGCAGCCCGGCGCCGGCCCTGCGGGAAGGATGCTGATGGAGCCGTGCTCTCCGAGTGCCCTCGCAGGCATCCAGCTCGGGGGACCCATGGCACTTTGCACCTCTGCTGTAACGGGGACAAGTGGCCTGGCCCTTGTGGGTGGGTGACATGATGGTGGCCCGGGGTGGGTGACATGATGGACACCTGGAGGTAACATCTCCAACAGTCTGGAGACTTAAACGCTGCACGGGAGCAGCGCCAGCCAGCAGATACCACGCTCGGGAGGCGAGTGGCAGTGGTGCTTGGCCAGGGGGAGAGCGGAAGGGAAATCTGGGGTTCCCTCCCAGCCAGCAGCACTGTCTCTGCAAGGCCAGCGGATGGAAACACTTCATTCGGCTTTTGCCAAAGCGCAATGATGCAGCTGGGGAAACTGCAGCCCTGGCACGGGGCTGGGGGCTCGGGGACCGTGGCCTCGTGGCTTGGGGAACGCAGTGCGCAGTGACTCATCGCTGCTGCGCTGACAGGGTCTGCGGCCGCTGCGGTTCAGTGCGAGTGGGGCTCAGGGCTGCTGCTGTTCAGTTAATTCCCTTCCTGCAGCACAATTACAGCTTCTACAGTGACAACCTTCTATTTAGCCGAGTTTCATGCTTTTACGGTATTGAAGTTGGGAGGCTTTCCGTGCTGAGCAGCAGTTGCACAGGGAGTCGGAGGTCAGCGGGGTCCTGGCTGCTCCCGGCAGCGCTGTGCTGACCACCATCTGGTGCAGCGCCACGGCTGCGCTCTACATGTGCCGCGGCCGCTCCTCAGGAGCAGCGATGACCGGTGGGCACAGGGTCCCATGCACATCTGAACGGCAGTGATCAGCTCTGCTTGGAGCAGGAGAGGAGCTGCGGAGCAGCTGCTGCAAGAGGGCACGTGGTTGGGATGGTGGGGCAGGCGCCTGGGGTGGGTGCTGGGGAGGTGCAAGGGGCATGAGGACCTCACCGGGTCGCACCTCCAGCATGACCCAGCTGGTGGAGGGCACGAGTGTGGGGAGGACAGTGACCTATGGACCCCCTGCCCAAGGTCCCTTCTCCGAAAGGTTCGCGGGAAAGCTGTAGCTCTGGTGCCAAGTCCTGCTGTTTTGGGTCTCAGTTTCTCTCCGGCGGGGGTGTAAAGAGGATGGCAACACCTGCCCGTGCAGCCACATGATGGAGCGTCAGGAGCTTAGGCATGATGGGCGCTGACCCTTTGCTTCCTCCGGCACGGGGCTGGCAGCGAGCGGCACTGCATCCCCTGGGATGGAGCCTCTCCGGCCGGCTGCCCGGGGTGGCAAGGGTGGGACAGGGGAGCCCAGGGGGTCAGTAACGTTTGGGTCTGGCTGTGCTGACAGTCAGCTGTGCTGACTTTCCTCTTCTTCCCACCCAGTCAACCTGCTGGGGCTGCTGAAGTGGCGCTCTAAGCCCAGCCTCCTCGCCGGGAACCTCCAAAAGCTGATGAACGTGGATGGAGGGGAGGTCATCAAGGTACAGCCGGGATCTGCCCTCCCGCCTCCTCCCTTCCCTGCTCCTGCACTCGCGTCTCCAGCCATGTATCCAGGTGGCTGCTCCCTGGGGAGCAGAGGGATGTGAGGGTGGCAGTGTTGGCACCGGGGCTTCCCTGCCAGCCTGGCTTAGTGTGCCGAGAGGTGCTGCCAGAGCTGGGGGAGCCGCCCTGCTCTAGGGATGAACTGGGCACACTGGGAACATCCTGCACGGCCTCGGTGCCTCTTCCCTGGGGAGAGGTGCTGCCTCTGCCTGCGGCGATTGCCACGTCGGCCCTGGGGAGCCCCGCTGGGGCAAGTGGGTGGCCAGAGTGGCAGTGTGGGGCTACCTGCTAGGGGACAGGCTGAGCTGAGGAGTCGCATCCTGGCAAAGGGATGGACACCCCAGGCTGAGAAGATCTGAGGATGGGCACAGGAGCTCTGTGCTCGGGCAGGTCGCTCAGAGGTGGCTCCGGGATGATTCTGGGAGCTAACGTTCAAGCCCTCACAGTCCTCTTGTCTCCCCCAGTTCCTCCAGGACACATTGGATGCCTTGTTCTCCATCATGATGGAGAATGCGGACACGGATGTCTATGACACGCTTGTCTTTGATGCCCTGGTAAGTGGTACCTGCTTCACCATGTGTGATGAAGGTGGTTCTGACCCCACTGACCAGTGCAGGATGGGCCCAGGTCAGACTGGGGTGGGTGTGAGATGGGGCTCACTGATCTGACCAGACAAGCAGTACTCAGAGCTGTGCAGTGCCTCCGGCTCCACCACAGTGCCTCGGGTCAGTAGGGCCTGGTCAGCCTGGCACAGGGCAGGGCTGTGGCTCTCTGGGGACACTGTCCCGCCAGGGGACAATTCCAGCAAGAATCAAAGGCGTTTCTCCGACACAGAGACAAGAGTGACCCCAGTGATAGGACGAGGGGAGGGTTGGGGTTGGGGCCGTCTTGTGGGACACATGGGGCTGGTGATGGTGTGAGCGCTGTGCAAGCTGGCCATGAAGTGTCCTGTGGCTGGTGGGCTCGGGGCTCATTTTGGGCTTTCTGCTTCAGAGGTCTGCCTGTCCTGGTAGGCTGGGCAGGTGTGCAGGTGACTCTGGTGGACCCAGCAGCCCCCACGAGGAGTCAATGCTGCTCTGGCCGTGGCTGCTGGCACCTGGCTGTCCTTGGGCATCCTTCCGCCCGCACCCAGCCATGCCTGCTGCCCACTCCCCGCAGGTTTTCATCGTGGGGCTGGTGGCCGACAGGAAGTTCCAGCATTTCAACGCCGTCCTGGAGGCCTACATCCGTCAGCATTTCAGTGCCACACTCGCCTACAAGTGCGTACCCGACAGCTGTGGCACGGGAAGAGATGGGGCTGGGATGGCAGGCATGGGGGGAGGCAAGGGGCCGGAGCCTGGGCAGCTCGCGGCGGGCAGCGTGGCATGGCTCAGCAGCTGCCCCAAAGGCTGCCCTGGTCACACACGTCCCCATTCTGCAGGAAGCTGATCTCGGTGTTGACACAGTACCTGGACCAAGCGAGCCGGGGGGAGCCCTGCGAGCCGCTCACGCGCACCTTCAAGGCCCTGGAGTATATCTTCAAGTTCATCGTCCGCTCCCGGCACCTCTATGCCCAGTAAGTACCGGCGATTGCTCCTGCTGCACCAGGTGCTGTGCTCTGCCGGGCTGCCACTCCAGCGCCGCTGGAGCATCGGCCCCTGGGGATGGGGGACTGTGGGAGGGAGGAAAGGAAAGGAAAGGTCCCACAGTGGGATCCCTGTACTGTGGGTGCAGTATTTGTGCCAACCATTGACTTTGGGGATGCGGCACTGGCACCTCGACCTGCCTGGTGCCGGCTGCTTTGGTCCGATGTGGCACCTGGCGGTGGCACCCATGGCTCCTGGTGCGCTGCAGATGTGCTGCCGTGTTGACCAGTCCCCAGCCAAGCTCTCCTCCGCCACCACGCTTCCTCTCCCCGAGGTTTCCGGCACATTTCTGCTGCACGCCATCCTCCGGTTGCCGCCTGGAGCAGTCATGGTCTGGTGCGGGTAGCAGGCAGTGTTGTCCTTCTCGGGGCGGGAGAGCTCTTGCGGCACGAAGGGCTGTGGCAGGATGGGTGCCGTCACACAAACCGCTGTCTGGCCAGGGAGCGGTGTTTCACAGTTGTTTGCAAAGGGCCTGAGGCAACGCGTGAAGCAAGCTGTGGTTTGCTGTCCGTCAGCCTAATTGCTACGGGTTCCTCCCGTGTGTGCTGACTGAGAGACCAGCAGGGTGCTGCTGAGATCGGCTTCGGCTGGCACGGAGCCCACGCTCCCTCCCCGCAGTGCCCAGCGGCTTTGCTCTGTCTCGGTGCGGTCATGCCCCTGACCCGGCCCTCGAAATGCCGGGAAATGCCCAGCTGCTTTGTGTACGGCTAACCCAAAAGCCATGTGTATAAGGCCAGAGGGACCTGCGGTGACCTCCTGCCCAGGGCAGGGCTGGCTCTGCCCGGGCTGCCCCTCATGGGTGGGTTTTTCCAATGTGCTCTTAGAAATCTCCCACGATGGAGATGGCAAAAATTCCCCGGGCAGCCTGCTCCCCTGCCTAACCGGTACTGTGGCTGGAAAGGTTTTCTGGCATCCAGCCTTGCTCTTCCCACTCATTCCTGGAGAGCTTCTGCCTGCCTGTCCTATGCTGTTTGGGAGGTTTTTAGCAGATTTTTCCTTGGAGAGGGAAATTTTGCACTTACCCTCAGCGAGGCTCATCTTACTGTGGAGCAGTGCTGTGCTCAGCTCAGACCATCTCAACCCTCAGCCTGTCTTTGGCCTCTGTGCTGCCTCTGTGGCATCTCCGGCTCTGCTGACGGTGTTACCTGTGAGCCTTCCTGCTCCGCACTAACATTGTCGTTAGCGGGTGTGCGTAGCAGCGGCTGCGGTGACAGTGATTCGGGCAACAGGGTCTGTGCAAGGAGCACATAAGTGGCAAAGACACCTGTTTGGTATCAGAGGGTTCCAGTGAAACACCCTCTACCTCTGCAGCTCTGGCGGCACAGGCGGCTCCAAGCTTCAGCCGGTCACTGGGCTTTCAAATCGTTTCCAATGCAAAGCATGTATTTGGTCTTGGGGGTCCCTCATGCTTTAGCAAAACCAGAGGCGGCATGGTGCCAGCCCCAGGGCCTAGGGAAGGGGTGCCTGGGGCACCTCCCCTCCATTTGTCCTGGCTCGGCAGCTCATCCCCGACTCAGCACAAGCTCTAAAGGAGGTTCTGAGAAAGTGAGAGACTTTTTACTTGTCCTGTAGTGACAGGACAAGGGGTAATAGTTTTAAATTGAAGGAGGGTCAATGTAGATTGGACATAAGGAAGAAATTCTTTACTGTGAGGGTGGTGAGACAATGGAACAGGTTGCCCAGAGGAATTGTGGATGCCCCATCCCTGGAATCATCCAAGATCAGTTTGGATGGGGTTTTGAGCAACCTTCTCTAGTGGAAGATGTCCCTGCCCATGGCAGGGTGTCGGAGTGGATGATCTTTGAGGGACCCTTCTGTCCCAAACCTTTCTGTGATTCTGTGATAAGCAGCGTGTAAGGGTCTGGGAGCCTCGATGGCTCCTTGTCACTTCTGAGGATAAGGTCAAAGCCCCCCCTGGGTACCTCCAGAGTCCTCCTGGGACCTGGTTTTGTTTGTTCCCTGTGGGCACGGGGTTCCTGTCCTAATCTACGTGATGGGACAAACAAACCTCCCCTGGCCAGACTGGGCAGGCGTGGGTGAGCCCAGCTGTGCTTCTGGGCTGAAGTGGAAAACCGAAAACACAACCAATTGGAGTTACCAGAAAAAGCAAGCTACGTTCCTCTTTCATTCCAAGTACAGGGCACCGAAAGCTGAAGTGTCCCAAGGGAGAGGCGGGTGGCGGGGTCCCTCCACATGCAGCATTGCCAGCCTGTGCTGGGAAAGCAGCAGGGCTGCCCCATGCTACAGGGCCACGTTTTGGCAGGCGGGTGCTGAAATGCTCCAGGGAGCGGAGCAGAAGCCCAGGGTCTGCCTCCTCAACCCAAAGTCCTGAGCACTGTGCAGAGGTGCCAGGACATGTGTCAGTGTCCCCATCGGTGCTCTGTGTCCTGCTTGTGGTGAGGAGCTGTCTTGGGTTCCCGGCATCCACAGGGACTCTCAGACTTCACTTTGCCCCCACCTTGTCTTTGCCGTCTCGCTTTGCTGTCTGCCAGGTGTTCCCTGTGTAGCTCATGCTGCAGAGTACCAGGACTGCCGGAATGCCCTGTCTGTCCTTTCTCATCGCTCCCACCTGCCAGCCCTTCCCAGGGTCTTGTTCACGGCCATGTAGCTGCTCCAGAGCTCCCGGGTGCTCCAGCATTAGACCGAGGTATCTACCTCCTCATCATATATGAAAATACAGAGCAAATTCCCTAGCTTATAGAACTTCTGGCAGAGAAAATTAATTATATGGAGCATTTGCAAACAGCCCTGTGAATTAGTTTGCATTGGAATGAAGACATCCCTGAAGACATTTAGTGTTTTTATTCATCTTCCCTTTATCTCAGTGATCTTAACAGTGCAATAACACGGACTCCTCAGATCTTCTAAATACTTTAAACGGTGCTACAATTTGTACACAGTCTATAATTTAAAGAAATTAGATTGTAATTATAATAAGTCACTGCAGATTGCTGTATTTATTTGATTATGTGTGCTACTGCTGGAATCGGATGAGCAGCTCAAGTAGCTTGTACGAGGATCCCAGGTTGCTGCAAGGATGATCAAAGCGGGGCCTGGCTGGTGTGGAGCAGGAGGTTCATTGCCCGAGCCCCTTTGGCAGCTCTGTGGCCACCGCGTGGGGAAAGGGCTCCCCAATTCCCCTCCTGCCTTGGGCAGGAGGCGTGGGAGCCGGTGGGCTGTGAAGGGGCTGGATCCTGGTACCGGCCGTGGGAGCTCTGTGCCCAAAATGTGCTTTCCTGCAGGAATGTCCCCCCAGCCCTCGCTCTGCAGGGAGATGCCATGCCATATCTCCAGACGCCTTCCCCTTCGGCAGCCCATGCACATGGGGTCCGTTGGAGCCCCCCAAAGCTCCCCGTGCCCTTCCCAATATCAGGGGTCTCTCCCGGCCTCTGCTCCAGCCGTGGTAACCCCGACTCCCCTTGGAGCCCCCCTGGCGCCTACGGGGCTCCATTGCCTCGCGGGGGGCTGGGGTTTTGACGGCGGTATGACATGGTCTCCTACTCTCTGCTTCCTCCCTGCCAGTTCCTTCGGCTGCTTCTGCTTTTTGGCTGCCGCTGAGGGCGGCAAAGGTTTCCTGAAAGTGCTTGTTGTCACCCCAGGGTTCCCCCTGTGCCGGGTCCTCTCTCCTGCCAGCGCTGGGGGAGCTGAGGACACTTGCTCTCACCAGTGTCCCTCTACAGCCACCTGCTTTGCAGCTCGCAGCCCCCTCGCCCAGCCTCACTCAGCCCACCCCGGTTCCTGCAAGCAGC